ACTGCACGAATGGAAATGTTGAACTCATGAATGCACTAAATGAAAACACATGGGTTCAGTTCATGTAAAATCATTCTTTTAATCACAAACATTAATATAAAATCATGTAAATCCATCCATCCACCAGCAGCTGAAGCTAAAAGAAAAGTTGGAGAATACACTGTTTGGAAAACGCTGAAGAACTCTTTCAGTTCCTCTCCTTACAGGCACAACTGCAGATTATCTACCTCAGTCTCACCTCTCTGTCACACCAACCCTCTGCTTGTCCTTCACTACATCCATGAGGCTCCTCTTCTCCTTCGGCCTGGCACCTTCACATTTAACATCCTTCATCTTAAAATATCCTCTATCCATCCGGTGCACACGTCCAAACCATTTCAGCTCCGCCTCTTTAGCTTCATCTCCAAACCGCCCTGCCTGAGCTGAGCTACCCCTCTGAGGGATTCATTTTTAATTTTGTCCATTCTGAACATCTTAACATCTTCAGCTCTGCCTCCTGTCTTTTCGTTAATGCCACTGTCTCCAAACCATACCTCATAGCATGTCTCACTGCCAGTTTGTAAACCTTCTCTTTCAGTCTTGCTGAATGCTCCTGACACTCGTCTCCACCCACTCCACTCTGCCTCTTTCTACCTGCCTCCCACTCATTCACACGTGTATATTCTGTCATGCTTTAACAGACTTTCATTCCTCTTTTCCTCAGAGCACACCTCCACCTCTCCAGGCTCTCTTCCACTTGCTCTCACTACAGATCACAACATTATTTGCAAATATCACAACCCACAGAGACTCCTGCCTGGTTCCATTTGTCATATGATCTATTGTCCCACTCATTCACACGTGTATATTCTGTCGTGCTTTAACAGACTTTCATTCCTCTTTTCCTCAGAGCACACCTCCACCTCTCCAGGCTCTCTTCCACTTGCTCTCACTACAGATCACAACATTATTTGCAAATATCACAACCCACAGAGACTCCTGCCTGGTTCCATTTGTCATATGATCTATTGTACACTCTATCTGGATCCACAAAGACACAACTCGTTCTGAGCTTCTTCTTCTGGCTTTACTTTTCCTCCCTGGTTTCACATGTGTCCAATCAGCTCTGTGTGTGCATGCAGCCGTGTCTCTTCCTCTGACAGTTGTCAGTTTGTCTGTTTTGACATGATTTGACCCAGTAGTCGACTCCATAGTCTTTGTTCTTTTCTAGATTCTTTTTTTGGCAGCAGTTTGTTCTGATCAGCTTTCATCAGATCTCATGTTTTCTCAGTTCAAGTCTCACACACAGATCCCAAGTCTGTTTCCACTTTTCTCATTAGTCACAACGTCTATTGACATATACTGAATTTTGTTATTCTAATGTATGATCTCTCATTATAGGTTGACAGCTTGACATTCTTGCCTTTAGACCAATTCATCTTACGCATTCAATGCTATAAAATATGTATTATCAATTATCCGAATCTAAAATCTAGAGGAATTTATACAGAACAGCGCCCCCCTTTTTATCCCTACACAATAAATGTAATAAGAGACTCCCGACAAATGTGACTTCGAAATATCCACACTAGACTTGGCTAGTAAAGAACACTATAAGCAAAGAAGACTAAATTGTATTAAAATGTTAAGAAACATAGAATTACCTAAACAAAAACACAGACGTTTTGTGCATATTGTTAAAACTGGATAAAACCACGAGCGTCCATAATGCTGTGTGTGCTGGTCACCTGGTCTTGATTATTAGAACACTATAAGTAACAGTGCACCACAAATTTCTGTTTCCTTATTTGTGTCTTGTGTCAAACTTACTGATAGAAATGTGAAACTATAATTGTCCATAAAATGTAGCAGTACAGCAGTGTTTGCACACAGCTTCTTTCATTCACCTTCAAAATCATTAAATACAAAATTAGCCTCAAAGATTTGTCCTTTAAAAGATAACTGTGTTGTTAGAAAGATAACTCAAAATAAAATAAACACCACTGCATTCATGAGGTCATGTGATTCTACCTGTTCTCTGCAGGGAGCTGTTGCCACCGTCCAAAAACACCTTCAGCCGCTCTGGACAGATGTCAGTGAGGAAAACTTCATTTAGCTTTGTTTTATTACTGTCAGCATCCCAGCTCTGTTTGGTAGCGTCAGCCTTCAGTGAAGCCCATGACAGTGTCTTCAGATCCGGTTCAACAAAGCCATACTTCTCTCCAGTGCTTTCCTCATATTCACAGCCACTTCTAATCTGTAAGATGCAAAAACGTGGAACGAGAGAGAGAGAATGAACTATGATACATATATTAATCTAAAAGACTAAAATTTTGAACAATTCTGTAAATGCATTGTTTTGTCATGCTTTTTATGAGATATTGATATTAGTAAAGTCTGATCATTCCTGATCTCATCTGAGAAGCACAACATAAGAACTTTAAATCTTTAACAACTAGCAAAATATTTTTCCTTAGGTGTATCTCATGGTTTATAATAATCAGACAGAAGGTATATAAGAAGAAATAACCACATACCGTAACCTTCACTATGGTTGAACTGCTGTTTCAAACTAATAATCCGCACTCTGTAGGCGCTTGGCTGAATGTTAAAGCACTCACGTTTGTACCACTCCAAGTAAACTGCCTCGACGCCATCAACCACAGCAACACCCACAAACTGTGTGACGTTTGGGACTCCAGCAGATCCAGTGAAGTGATTTATCGGCGAGTGTTTCACTGTGAAACAATCATTTTAATATTTTATAAGATTAGATAAATAAAATATCCAAAAAGTATGAAAAATATAACTCCTGTAGTTATTTTTTTAGTTATTTCAAGTGTGAGCAAAGACCAACTGTGAGACAAGATTAGCAATAAAAACTACGTTTAAATCTATAAGAAGAGGATTCGGTTATTATTCCTGAACGTGGGTGAGGAAGTTCAGTTAACAAAGGTCAGACTAACACAACGTTAAAGCAAACGCGCTGCAGATGTGAAAAGCTGTTAGAGCTCAAAGATTCAAAAGGTTTTATTACCTGCAGATGAAACAGAAAAGAAAAGAAGCCGCGAGAATAAAGTCATCCTGTCCTCATCTTGTAGTTACTGTTAGAATAACTGTTGATCTTGTTTACTCCCGATGTACCGTTACCGGAAACCCGTTTGGTTCAGTGCGTGAATAAAGTTAAAAAAAAAAAAAGGTTCAGTGTGTGTGGGATAAGGGCGTCTTCCTGTTCCTTTCACAGGAAAAGTCCTAATTACATAGACACATATACATTTATAAGTGTAGGTTGTTTTCTCTCTTTTATCCCGTCCCTGACATACATGCTAAGTGACGAGCGTGCATAAAATTGTTTCTAAAAATGTAGTATCAGTTCAACACTTCTTTCTTCATAAAGAAATAATATCATTGTTTTGGTTTAAAAAAATGTAATTTAATATGAAAATATAAAAGGCAAAAATTGAAAAGCAGGTTTTATTCCCCATGAAATAAAAATAAATAGATGATTCGTTGACAATAATGTTTCATAATAATAATAATGATAATAATGTGTTGGGCTGAGAATTACACTAAAGACTGAAGACTGGACTCAAAGTGAAACGTTTGGTTATCTGTTGGCAGGTAATCCACAAAGGTAAAAACATAAACGAATTATTGAATCATAGGGTTTTCTTTCCGCATGGCTCCTTTCCTCAGTTAAACTACTGGAACAATGCACAACAGCAAACGTATGCCATTTTCTTCTTCGTGCCACATCCTCGCTGCTACTCAAAACAGGACTTACCAGTCTTCCTCATCCCCATTTATTTAGGAATTAACTTTCTGATTTTACACCCTGAATTATTTTCCTGTGAAAGATTTATGTTACAATACTGCCACAAACTTCACACACATAATAATTATCTTGCTTGTTAAATTTCTCAAGTCTGTTATGTCACAAATCCACGCTCCTGTGGAACTCTCTCAGGTCTGAACCACCTGACCTTTGAAATCGCTGTTGCCATTTCCCCTTAACACATACGTGCACTGATGCCTCTACACCACAGAGCGCTCCTTTTATTTACACCTATTTCCTCAAGTCAGTTGAGCTCTACTTTTCTGCATGGATTATCTATTATATTTCACTTTCCAGCCAAAACGTCCAGTTCAGATCCAGTGTCTATTACCCTGAAAGTGATGATATCTTTAACAAACCTCCATGACTCCTGTAGGATCTGTTTCCTCATTCTGACTGAAAATGAGTTGCTTCAAAAAAGGACCATTGGCAATCAAGCTTCTAGCATTCCACCATTGGTTATATCCTTATTCCCACTCACCCAGACTTTGTCACTTCCCGATAGAGTTCTTTTTATTTATTTATTTTGTCAGATACATATAGAAACAATCAAGCCACTCATTTTCTTAACCTTTTATGAAAGGAGGTACACTGGTTTGATAAGCACTCTCATGACTACCTGCACTCTCATGACTATGTCTTTTGGGAAGGTGATCTTTTGCACAGTTTGCAAATGTTACTAAAAACATTCTTGGTTGAGAGAAAAAGTTCCAGACGTAACATAGATGTGGTTTTAACACATGAGATAAGAAACAACTCATCAAGACAGTTGACAAAGTAGCAAACTTTATGCACCAAATCAAGTGTTAAATCTTTTTACATGTTTTTTTAAACAGAAACCTGTCGAATTTCTCTCTCCCACAGTCTCTTTTTTAAAAAAATACAAATTAATTTACAAAAGGAAAATAAAAAAGAAATCAACAAGTAAATGCAAAAATGTGTACTTATTTTTTTTTTTTAAATAAATAGTTCCATAACTGAATTATGAAGGTCTGTTACGCAGCCTCAATGAGTTTCTTGTGACAAACTGTTCCAGTTCCAGGAATTCATTAATAAGTTACTTCTCTCCAAAATATCTAACTGCTGTTTAGTTAATTGTGTTGTTAACTTTTTATTTGCCACTGACATGTCACAGATTCTGCCTGAGCATACATGTTTCTCAGTTACTTTGAAATATATTTTCAAATATTTATCAGTTTTCAGAGTTTTTAAGAAAACTTTCAACAACTGCCAGAATTGTTTTGAGGTTTTGATGCAATCTGACACCTGACTCTACAGTGACACCTACTGGCCTCTGTTATCATTGTCATATCTTGATGATGTTCCATGTAACATGAATTTTACACTCATTATCTGTGAGTAGATGTTATCCAGTTTGATTTTCACACTGTCAAACAAAGCTTTTCCATATCAGTGGGTTTTATTTTCAAAAGCATGTTTCTCTCATAGACAGTGGATGGACCTCAGTGTCTCTTTATGTTAGAAAACCCAACAATTCTCAGCATTTTTTAAACTAATGGTCAACAGAAAACAGCAGTGTGTGTGATTCATAAAGAAATAGACACATAGCACCTCTTGCTATGTTTGTAATACCATTAAAAAGGAATTATTTAACTGAGAATATAACTCCATGAAGAAAACAGTTTCAACTTTAAAATTTCTAATAAATAGCAGAGTTGAAAGAAAAAAAGTTTAAAAAAAATAAAATGTAAGTATTTTACCTCATTTTATTTTATTACTTTTTGTTGTTGCTGTTATTATAAGCCATGTCTCCAGTATGAAAAAATATAATGAAAGAAACCAACAGGTGATGAAGGAGGTGGTTACGTTATTGACCTTAAATAAATGAATAACCAAAATAGTGCAAGTAAATTATTTATAGACAGAACAGTTAAAATATAGTGAAGCATGAAAACTGTTTGACTTGAATGACTGAACAATCCTTTGGATTATAAAACAAAAAGAGAAAAATGTTTTTCCACAAAAAATAAAGTTCACATAAACAAACTATTAAAAAACACCTTCTATGTGTTCGTTTAACTGGAGATTTGAACATTGTTTTGTGGGTCCAGTGTTTGTATGTGTGGATCTTGTTTCAGTTTCTCCAACAGTTCAGCAGTGTTGCCAGGCACTGTTATTTCCAAAGAAGAAAAATCACTGGTATTCTTTATAAAATACATAAACTATATATCAGAGTAAAACAAGTTGTACTTACAAGGTGAACTTGAGTTTCTGCCTGAAATAAAAAGAAAATAAATCATTTCAGGCATTTGTTCTACATTACAATCAAAGTTTCTGTCATATATATTCAAAAATAAAAGTGTCTAATATAATAAGAAATAATATAACTGAACCATGCACTGCTGGTCCTGGTTCATTGATAAACTCAGCTCCTTTGATTCTCTGACCTTTCCTCTTTTTGTAAACAGCAAATCCAACAACAGCAAAAAGGATGAGAAGAACTGGAACAACCACTGCAGCAATGATGGAGATCATCCTGTCAGAGGGATTCTCTGCTCAGTAAAAACAGACAAACAAAATCAAATCTGCAGATGAAGCAGGTTAGAATAAACATATTTATGAGTAATATTAAAATAAAGTAATATTTAAAATATCCTGGAAGAGTAGTTGTAAAACAGCTAACTGATCATTTGTTCTGTTTTGAGTGTTTTGAATCTATCTGATAAATTTCAGTTTGTTTAGGTAAATGAAGAGTAATTTGTCACATATTTGATACAAATCTCTTAAACTGACAGCATATCTTAAAAACATAGAAGCTTGCATTTGACTGTAAAAATCTTCTAACCAGATATTTAGTCTGGATGGCTTTGCTGAAGAATCTCTGAGTCATTTTTGAACAGGGTATATCCTTCAGTGTTCATATTAAATTAATATGTAGTGTGTGCAATATTGCTAAAATGAGAAACATCTGTCTGAGTGATCCTAAAAAACTAGTTCATAGATTAAATACTTCTCAGCCAGATTACTGTCATTCGTTATTATCAATTTCCCCTAAATATTTCCTAAAAACCTTAAAAATGCTACAATGAGAATATTGACAGAGATGAGAAAGAGAAACAATATTTCTCTCATAACATACTCTCTATAGTATTTACAAGTAGAAAAGGAGGCAGAGCCTTCAGCTTTCCGGCCCCTCTTCTGTGGAACCAGCTCCCAGTTTGGATTCAGGAGACAGACACTATCTCTACTTTTGATAAAGCTTATAGTCAAGGCTAGATCAGGTACCTCCTTTAGTTAGGCTGCTATAGGTTCAGATTGTTCTAGGAAGTCACGTGATACACTGTGATGCACTGAGCATTTCCTCTTTACTCTTAATTCCCCACGTGTTTATAAATCACTGTAACATGTCATCAGATTGTTCTCTTCTTTCTACGTTAGTCTGTGATTTATCTGCTTCATGCTCTCTTTTTTCTCTTCTTTTCTCTTTCCCTCACCCTAAACCAGTCGATGCAGATAGCGCCCCCTCTCTAAGCCTGTTAAAGTGTTGCTTATAGACAGTAGTTTGATTGCTGGGGTTTTCTTCTTCTATTCTGATTTGGCGCTATGTAAATTAACCCGATTTGAAACTTTTGCAAAAATGGGTTTCTTAATAATAATAATAATAATAATAACAGTAACAGTTTATATTTACAATGAAAGAGAGAAAATGATTGTAATACATAATAATTAAAAAAATTAAGACATTCATTTCCCCACAGTGACAGCTGTTCCTCCTGGGATTAAATATAGGACAAAAAAGTCAAGCATTATATTGGAGACAGCAAACAAAACATTTCTCTCACCTCTGACAGGTATTATTTTTCCACAGTTGGTTCTGATCACTTTTTTATCCAGTTTGGTGATGATGTCATCGCTGTCAGAGAGCTGAAACACACAGTCGTATCTGCTCCAGTCTTCTGTTGTGACTGATGAAACATTCAGATCAACACACATCTGGAAGGTCTCATCATTGTTGGGGAGGATCTCTCCAGGATCCACACCATCATGAATCTCCTCTCCATCTTTCCTCCAGAACATCACGGCTCTTTGAGGGTAGAAACCTGTAGCGTGGCAGCTGACTGGAGAGGAGGAAGACTTCTGGAGGAGAGACACTGAGGGAAGAACTGGAGAGAAAGAAAGAGAAGAAAATATCAAAAGGATAAAAAGAAGGCTTTCATTTTTCCAAATCTGACAATGTTATAGCATCTTGATAACATCTAATAAATAATTGCAGACATTTATTTGACAAAAAAATGACACATTAGAGCAGGGCTGCCCAATCCCAGTCCTCAAGAGCTACTATCCTGCAGCTTTTAGATGCATCCCTACTCCAACACAGCTGAATCAAATGGTTTGATTACCTCTTCAGCATGCCATCATGTTTGGCAAAGGCCTGATAACAAGCCATTCATTTGATTCGGGTGTGTGGGAACAAGGATGCATCTAAAAGCTGCAGGACGGTAGCTCTCGAGGACCGGGATTGGGCACCCCTGCATTAGAGTATCATCAGTTAAAACACTGTCATACATGCAAGACAAAAATGTATCTGGGAAAATTAAACAATAAATAGAAAAGAAATAAGAGAGTGGTTGCTGATGCATGTCGTTTGAAAATTCTACTTGTGCACTCAGAAAAATAAAGGTGCCAACTGGAACCAAAAGTGGTTCTTTAGACTGATGCCATAGAAGAACCTTTTTTGGTGCCACAAAGAACCTTTCAAACAATGGTTCTTTGAAGAACCATTTCTTTCAGTGGTTCATTGAAGAACCTTTAAAGGTGCCCCAAAGAACCATCAAGAAATGGTTCTTTGGGGCACCTTTAATGGTTTTTCAAAGAACCTTTTTAAAAATGGTTCTTTAAAGAACCATTTAAATCTTTTGCCATTTCCTGTATTATTAGAAAACAATGCAACACAAAATAAACACCACAGCATCCATGAAGCTACATCAGCTTATGTGACTGTACCTGTTCTCTGCAGGGAATGTTTCCCACTTTCCAAAGACATCTTCAGCCACTTTGGACAAGTCGTACTGAGGAACTTGATGGTGTATTTTATTCTATTTTCATCAGTGTCCCATCTCTGTTTGGTAATAACAGCCTCTGGTTTCAGTACGATCCACCTTAATGTCTTCATATCAAATTCAAGAAAGTCTTCTCCATTGTAAGCATACCGTAAAAAGTTGATCATCTCTCCAGTGCTTTCATCCCATTCACAGCCACTTACACTCTGTAAAATGTGGATGCCTGATGAGACAGAAAGAAAACAAAGACTGCAGTGAACTGCATTAATGTTGTTCATTGTATGAGGCACTACTATTCTCCAAGATTTGAGTATTAATAGTTGAATAATTTAATCAATTGAAAAACATTGCAGATTCAAATTAACGTCTGGTTATTTGTGTTTAAAACAAAAAGGTTTAGAAGGACAAGAGAAAGAAAATGATTCAGCAGAGGAGTCATCTTAGAAGAATGTAAAGATAGAGATATGTATATTTTCTTAAGATTGTTATTATTATATTATATTATTATTGTTAAAATAAGTAAATTTTGAAATCTTAACATTTTTTAACACAAACTTTTTTATTTTTATGATGGTTTTAAGGTCTCAAATAAGAAACAGGCCAACGAAATTAAAACTTGAAATCTTTCATGATTAACAAAATAACTTTTTGTTATAAAGTCTTGTTTTGCATTTGTTATATCTAATGTTTTATAATGATCTGACATGAGGCATAACAGGAAATACTTTACCTCCAGGTTGGTTGAACTGCTGCTGTAAACCAAAAATCCAGGCTCGGAATAAGTTTGGCAGAGTCACAAAACACTGTACAGTCAAAGACTTCAGCTGCTGGGGGTTGTCATCTAATATTTTCTTTGCCCAGTCCTGTCTTGGTTCTAGTATTTTGTTCCTGCTGTCACAGTAACCCGCCTGAATGCCATCAAACACCATTTCACTCAAAAACTCTGATATGTTTGCGACTCCTGATGATCCAGTGGCCACATGCTTCAGTGAGTGTTTTGCTGTGAGACAAACAATATTGTTTTATAGTTAAAAATATGCAAACAATGTCAGCAGCCTAACAGAGGTGTAGTCCACTTTGTTTTTTCTAAGTGAGGACAAAAAAAATTATATTTAGGTTGATCATTTGAAATTCAGTTGTTACTTTAAGAGTATTTCATGGATTAAATAAAGTGATCTAGTATATCTAGATAACGAGTGCCAAATTTAATACGGTCCAGTCAAAAGAAAAACTGCTGTTTCATCTCATTAAAGAGATGCAGTGTCAGTTTTGTGACTGACAGGCCAAATTAGCATGATGATGCACTTGTGAGTCTTTGAGTCGTCTACCAGAAGTGCGCTAATGTGTATACACAGATGCAGTTAGTTTATTTCAATGATTACATAAAAGAACAACTCATAGTAGTGGCTTAAATATTGACCAGATGAGGCCACGTGTCCAAACGAAATTAATACAGTGTAAGCGACAGTTTTACATGTTGCTCTCACTGGAAACGGAGATTAGATGAATGTGAGAAGAAGAATGATGGTAAAGAAAAATCAGT